TCTTCATCTTCATCTTCATCTTCATCTTCATCTTCATCTTCATCTTCCTCTTCATCTTCATCTTCATCTTCATCTTCATCTTCATCTTCATCTTCATCTTCATCTTCATTTTCATCTTCATCTTCATCTTCATGTTTATCTTCATCTTCATCTTCATCTTCATCTTCATCTTCATCTTCATCTTCATCTTCGTCTTCATATTTATCTTTTCCTTTATCCTGATCTATATCTTCATTCTTTTCTCCATTTACGTATTTACCCCCACCATTGTTATTAGGTTAGGTAGTTAAATTTTCCTTCCTCTTTTTCTTTACATTGTTTCTTTAGTGATATCATGTCATGTGTTGAAATTGGGTGTGATGAGTTGCAGTGTGGTGGAATTAGGTGTGGGAGTTACGGTGTTATGAATTCAGGTGTGGTGGTCTTAAGAGGTGTGGTGAATTTAGTTGTAGTGAGTTGAGGTGTGGTGAATTAAGGTGTGGTGAGTTAAGGTATGGTGAGAAAGTTGAGGTGTGGTGAATTAAGGTGTGGTGAGTTAAGATGTGGTGAGAAATTTGGGGTGTGGTGAGTTAAGGTGTGGTGAATTAAAGTGTGGTGGATTTAGTTGTGGTGAATTAAGGTGTGGTGAATTTAGGTGTGGGGAGTGAAGTAGTGGTGGATTTAGGTGTGGGGAGTTAAGGTGTGGTGAAATAATGTATAGCGAACTCAGGTGGAGTAAGTTTTTAAGCGGAGGTGAGATGAGTTGAGGCGAGTTAAGTTAAGTTAAGGGGTTAAGTTAAGATAAGTTATCTTTATCCTTATCTTCATATTCATCTTCATCTTCTTCCTCGTCTTGGTCTTCATCTTCATCTTTATCCTTTCCTTTATCCTGATCTAAATATGTCCATTCTTTTCTTCATTTACATATTCACCCCCACCATTGTTATTAGGTTAGGTATTTAAATTTTCCTTCCTCTTTGTCTTTATATTTAGGTTTCTTTACTTTTATTTTAATTTCTGTATTTATCCCTTTTTTCTTCTCCATACTCAAAATTATCTCATCCTTGTTTGAGGCTAATCTATTCATGTACATACATACATACATACATCTTATTCCTAAACTGCTGCTTAGCACGTTTCTTTAATTCACTATCAATATTAAAGCATACATTTAGGAGGCATTTCCGCGCCAACCATGTACATGTATGGCATTGGTATTGGTGTGACTTTTGAATTGATTTTTTCGCTCTATTTTAAACTAATTTGAAATTTTAAAAATTGCCTGCACATCAGCATCAAAATACCTTTCTAATGATATATAATTGTTTATACCTTAGAAGTACAGTTTAGCCGTAAAAGGGGTGTAAAGGAAACATGATTGCCTATTTATATAATGATTTATGTCTGCAGCACAAACTCTAATGCGCCTAAATGCATACCCCACTAAGTTGCATTAACACGCAATAATATTATACCCTGCAGGAAATGAAGCCGTCTTGAAAACAACTTAAAACTTATTTAGACTCAACAGAAAACTACCTATTTTACTTTAGCGGTGGCCGCAAAGTATTCACACCACTGCATTAGAAGTCAACTAACTTGAAACTAACTACTTTTGAACAAGAAATATCAATTAGAAAGAAAACTAATTTATTAATTTTGCAACATGTTTATTTATTTAATTTAAGATATTTGTTTATTTGTTTAAAAATTCTTCTATAGGTAGCCTCATGTTAGGATTCTCACAGTTAGATAAAACATCAAAATGATAATAAAAAAATTTTATATTCATTTTATGTGTGTTGTTAATTCGAAAAGCCATCTATGAAGTGCAGAAAAAAGTGTATTCAAAGTAATTTTAGTATGGCGATATTTATGTAAATAGAAAATTGTTTATAGAAAACAAACTCCCGAATACATCTGCATTACTTAGAATTCATTTAAAGTTAGCTAATAAAAATGAGCTAGTTATCGAAATCCCACAAAAAGCTAACTACAACTTGGTTATTTTTACCAACTGACAATTTTTGCTGCAGGGCTTCTGCAGGGTATTTACATACATACATATCGAGCCCTAACCGCCAAAATAACGTAAGCGACATTTTTTTCAAAATTTTCTTTTTGATGCAGAAATATTCCTAGAGCATCTAGATGCATTTCTGCATCAAAAAGAAAATTTTGAAAAAAATGTCGCTTACGTTATTTGGGCGGTTATGGCTCGATATATACTACATATGTATGTACATAGGTATAGCTCAAATAAACTTAACAATCCTCACTAAGGCCGCATAATTTCGATTCAGCTTTTAAATAAATAATTTGAATAAGTTTTAAAATATTTTATGCTGATTAGAGGATTAAGTAGTAAAGCCTTATTAAGTTCATAACTAGTTATTAAAACAGAAAATATTTATTGTGAATTACTTTACCAGAGTAACCAAAGGCAAATCATTTTAAAATGTGCCCGGTGCGCAAGATAAGCTAATGTTTTGGTTTTGGGCGATATGTGCTAAATTGAAGTAACAATTTATGATAATAATTCGAATGAATATACAAAATCACCTACGCTTCTTACACCGAAATTTCCGTTTGTTGTAAACGGAATCAAAAGAGATTGAAATAGTATTTGCAAAGAAGACGAAAATATGGTAGAGGGAAGGCGAAGGAAATGTGTGTCTTCTAATAGGATGGAATATATTGTTTTTGGATAAGCGAAATATATTTTCAGGCAGTCATCCGTGACCACCTTTCACCTAGCACCCACAAAAACATTAGCCAACCAAGCATGCACGCCGAAAAGTGATAAATGAATGACGCCGCAGGCATACTTGTAACGCCACAAAAAGCAATTTGCCGTCATATTGATTTTTGACGTCAAAAAGCGTTGAAGAAACATTGAAGCGAATGAGCGTGAATGTTACAAAAACAAAGCATTAAATAAATGAGAAAATAAACTTTGTAAAAGAAG